AACAAACAAAAAAGGAGTGGAGCCGTCGCCCGACGTCGTGTAGCGACAGAATGGCGACTCCACTGGGGACTGAGGGTTGAACCAACTACTTGTGTTTGCTTTTCATATGATTTTTCTTATATGCTATTTATTTTTGGTATTTATTTTATTTACATTATTTATTACTGTAATTCTTTTCAATTTTTCATATTGGCCACATGCATGCATGATATTTATTTGTGTATTCACACACTTCACGATGAACCCATAAAAGCTCTGGACCCGAGCTGTCCTTTTTAAGATTAGAAAAGAAAGATTCAAGTGGCAAGTGTGACTTATGTCCACTGATGCTCATTTGGACTTTCGCTTGGATTGTAACTCACCCTATGCAACGGGTATTGTGGAATTTTCTCCCATACTCATGTTGCATAAGGTTAAGAGGCCGGTTACTTCACAAGTAATTCGGGCAATTTAAGAACCAAATAATTTCTTTAAGGATAGAATAAACTAAGCCAAACCTTATGAGTTAAATCCTATCAAGTAGGATATAAGACACAAATAAATGTCAATGCATTAACATACATTTTCATATGCATTCCATATTCTCATTATATCTCCACCGATCCTTATAGGAAGTGTGAGATGAAAAAAAAAAAAAACCAAATTTATTGAGGAATTTTTGACCAGATCAGATTTATGCCATCAAATTTCTTCCCTAAATCGGTTCAAGTTCCTGTAGGTTTGGAGTCCTCAGTGAGAACTTTTTAAGAGAATCTGATCTGGTCTATTCCTCATCATAAGTTAAAGGAAAACCTAAAACAAATAACAGGCATACATCATCCATATAGCATTTTGCATCCATTTGTGCATTTCATTCATTTTTATGGCATTCATCCAGGTTGAAATATAGGTCCCCCAAAAGACCATAAAATTCATTACACTCGACTTTGAAGAAAGATAATGGAGAACGAAGAAAGAGCACATCTAGAGGCTCATTATCAAAGGGAGTTGGAGAGCATGAAAAATGATATCGCAAGACTTACAAGTCTACTCGAGCAGGCCCTAGTATCCAAGTCTGGAGAAGATACCTCTACTCAGCCAACGGTTGCAACTCCATTTATATCTACTCCAGTAGCTCCTTTCGTGTTCACTTCTCAAAATCTAGGGGCAAATCCTTCTTCATCTGAACAGCAGTTCACTGCCAATGTTCCACCAGCACAAGTGCCGATCATAAACTTGACAACTGATGACTCACATAGAATGAGATACTCTAAACCTGTTGATTATGACAAATTGATCGCTCTAGAAGAAAGATTGAGAGCAGTCGAAGGGGCAGACTTATATGATCCTGTTCATGCTGCAGAGATGTGTTTAGTCCCAAATGTAGCTGTACCTAAAGAATTTAGGGTACCGGAATTTATCAAATATATGGGAACTGAATGCCCAGTCACTCATCTTAAATCTTATTGTAATAAGATGGCAGAAGTGGTGAATGATGAGAAACTTCTCATCCATTTCTTTCAAGACAGTCTTTCTGGATCAGCACTAAGTTGGTATACAAGACTAGATAATACTAAGATCAGAAAGTGGAAAGATTTGGTCAAAGCTTTTGTGGAGCAATACAAATTCAACATGGAGGTAGCCCCGGACAGGTCAAGCTTGTTAGTCATGGAGAAGGGCACCAAAGAGACTGTAAGAGAATACGCTTTGAGATGGCGTGAAAAAGCATCTCATGTGCAACCCTCTTTGTTAGAAAAAGAAATGGTCACTCTGTTTACCAACACTTTTAAATCTCCCTACTTTGAACACCTAGTGGGTAGTTCAGCTCAGCATTTTTATGATGCTGTAACTATTGCTGAGAGGATAGAACAAGCAATAAGAATAGGGAGAATGTTAGAGCCTACTGAGAAGAAAGGTTTTATCGGGAAAAAGAAGGAGTCTGAGGTGAACAATATGGAAGGAGGGTACAAGGGTAAGAAGAAAAATTACCATCACTATAACTTCCAAAGACCTACCCAACAAGTTACAAGTGTAAGCTTCACTAAACCTTTCCATACCAACCAGCAAAACCAACCAAATGACCAACAAAGTAACCAGATTGGTAATCCTACAAGAAGGAATTTTCAAAGAACCCAAGAACGATTGCCACCATTACCACTTCCCTTGGGAGAAATGTATTCGAAGTTGTTGAGTATTGGGCAAGTGGCCCCTGTTCCTTTAACCCCACTACAACCTCCATACCCAAATTGGTATAAGCCTGATATGACATGTGAATATCATGTTGGCATTGCTGGGCATAACATTGAAAGCTGTAATGCATTCAAAAACAAGCTCCTTCAATTGATAAAAGCTGGATGGATAACTTTTGATGATGCACCGAATGTGAATTCCAACCCTTTACCCAATCATGCTACAAGCAGTGGAGGGGTGAATGCTATCGGAGTAGAGGGTAAGAAGGAAAGAACTTTGAAGGTTTCCATGGAAAAACTGTACGGTATGATGGTACAGTCTGGATATTTATCCGAGTTTGAACCAGTAATGAATGAAAATAATTACTGTAAGTTTCATGCCAAGGTGGGACATCACATTGATGATTGCGAAGAATTTCACCAAAGAGTGAAAAGGATGTTGATTTTCGGCATGATACGGATAGAAAGTGAAGAAGAAAGCAGTGAAGTGGGAATGATAGGCAGCCAGGAGAAAAAAAGAGAGGTTTGTAGACTCCAACCAACTGTGGGTGGTCCGCCAAAACTAATCCTAATCAAGCCTGTATGTACCAATAATGGAAGTTATGGCACAATGCCTTACAATTATGGGTATGCTTTCAACGTTAAAAATCCTACTCCTGTCTTCCATACAGAAATCGGCGGTTTAACTCGAAGTGGTCGTTGTTTTACACCAGAAGAATTAGAGAGGCAGAGGAAAGCTAAAGGAAAAGAAACAGTTGAGGCTTTTAAAGATATGGAAGTGAACAAACCCATAAGTGAAGAGGAGTCTAATGAATTTCTAAAGTTGATGAAGCATAGTGAGTATAGTATAGTAGATCAGTTGAAGAAAACTCCTGCTAGAATCTCTTTAATGTCACTTATCTTGAGTTCTGAGTTACACCGTAAAGCGTTGCAAAAGGTGTTGAATGAAGCATATGTGCCACAGGATATTACTCAGGATACAATGGAGCATTTGGTGGGAAGAATTCAAGCCTCCAATTACTTATATTTCACTGAAGATGAGCTAGACCCGGAAGGGACTGGGCATAACAAGCCCTTGTATATCACTGTGAAATATAAGGACTGTCTGATCGGCAAAGTGCTTGTGGATAATGGTTCAGCTTTGAATGTGTTACCAAGGTATATGCTGGATGAGATGCCAATTGATGCTACTCATATGAGGCCAAGTACTATGACGGCTAGAGCATATGATGGTTCCCCTAGACAGGTGGTAGGGACCATTGATATTGAATTGTTTATAGGGCCTCAAATGTTTTTGATAACCCTACAAGTGATGGATATCCATCCTTCCTATAGCATGTTATTAGGAAGGCCATGGATACATGCCTCTGGGGCTGTGACATCATCTCTACACCAATGCCTGAAGTACATCATCAATGGTACTTTAGTGAAAGTTAAGGCAGAAGAAACCTTGTCCATGATAAGGAATGTGGCGGTCCCTTATATTGAAGCAGAAGATTGCAAAGATGGAGATCTCCATGCCTTCGAGATTGTGAACACCGAATGGGTACCGGAGAATACTGTGTTAAGAAGACCAGCTATTTCTAGTACTGCTAGAATGATAGCTAAATGCTTTTTAAAACATGGGCTGCCATTCCAGAATGATCTAATTGCTGGAAATCATAAAAGAGTCAACATAATGAAAATTAAGGCCGTTGATCAGAGGTTTGGGCTTGGCTTCAAGCCTAAGAAAGATGATCATAAGAGAGCTGCTAGGATAAAGCGAGAGAGAAGGTTGGCCAGAATAGAAGGAAGAAAGCCAGAAGAAGAAGACATTGCAATCCCACCTATCCATGTTTCTTTTCCAAAGTCAGCATATGTTATGAAACCTGAAAACATGATGGAAGTCTTGGGACAGAAACTTGCTGTCATGGATATCAACAATGTAGAAGAAGGTGAAGAGAAAGGCTGGAACTATGATGATGAGCCAATAATAATAAAAGAAGATGAATTGTTACCACAGTTAACTGTCCATGCTCTAGAAGAAGCTCCAACCAACGCTTTTGTGCGAAAGCTTTCAGTTGAAAAAGTATTCCAGAATTGGGAGATTGAAGAAGCCCCAATTATTTTCAAGAAGAATTCTGAAAGTGAATCCTCCATAAATCCACAAACATATTGCATTGAAAATGAATGGCCAAACTTTGATAAGGATGAGATTGCAATGGATGAAGAGGAATGGGATGAAGAGTTTGCTAAACGGGTAGAACAGTCAGAGCATGCTTGGAAACCTGCGAAGGAAGAACTAGAGGTGATAAATGTAGGCACCGAGCAAGATAAAAGAGAGTTAAAGATTGGAACTCTGATCACTACAGAAGAAAGATGCAGTTTAACCTCATTACTACAAGAGTATATCGATGTGTTTGCCTGGTCTTATACAGATATGCCTGGTTTAGACATTGATATTGTAGTACACAGATTACCTTTGATAGAAGGATGTAAACCTGTTAAGCAGAAATTAAGAAGAACTCGCCCAGATATTGTGCTCAAAGTCAAGGCAGAGATAGAGAAGCAGTGGGATGCCGGTTTTCTAAAAGTTATTAAATACCCTCAATGGGTATCTAATATAGTGGTGGTACCAAAAAAAAAGATAACAAAATCAGAGTATGTGTAGATTTCAGGGATCTAAACAAAGCCAGTCCGAAGGATGATTTTCCTTTGCCTCATATAAATGTCTTGGTAGACAATGCTGCTAGGAGTTCAACTTACTCCTTTATGGATGGATTTTCCGGTTATAACCAGATTAAAATGGCTGAAGAGGATAAAGAGAAGACCACTTTTATCACACCATGGGGAACATTCTGCTACAAAGTGATGCCATTTGGGTTAAAGAATGCTGGAGCCACGTATCAAAGGGCAATGGTGACACTTTTCCATGATATGATGCATAAAGAGATTGAAGTGTATGTGGATGATATGATTGCCAAGTCTAAGAATGAAGAAGATCATGTTCAGGTTCTAAGAAAATTGTTTGAAAGACTAAGAAAGTATCAGTTGAAGCTGAATCCTTCAAAATGCTCGTTTGGGGTAAAGTCTGGAAAGTTGCTAGGATTTGTGATAAGCAATAAAGGAATAGAGGTCGATCCTGATAAAGTGAAAGCAATTCAGGCTATGACAGTTCCTAAGACTGAGAAAGAAGTAAGAGGTTTCTTAGGACGTTTGAATTACATTGCTCGATTCATATCTCAGTTAACAACAACATGTGAGCCAATTTTTCGATTACTTCGGAAAAAGAACCCTGGTATATGGGACAAAGATTGTCAAGAGGCTTTTGATAAAATAAAGCAATACTTACAGAATCCACCTTTACTCGTGCCCCCTGTGCCTGGAAGACCTTTGATCTTGTATTTGACAGTAACTGAGGTAGCAATGGGCTGTGTGTTGGGACAACATGATGAGTCTGGAAGAAAGGAGCAAGCTATCTATTATCTGAGTAAGAAGTTTACAGATTGTGAATCCAGATATACTGTGACTGAGAAGCTATGTTGTGCTCTTGTATGGAGTACGAAGCGTCTTCGACAATATATGTTGTATTATACCACCTGGTTGATCTCAAAAATGGATCCTCTTAAATACATCTTTGAGAAACCATACTTGTCAAGCCGAATAGCAAGATGGCAAGTGATGTTGGCTGAGTATGACATTGTATACAAGACAAGAAAATCTGTAAAAGGAAGTGTAATTGCTGATCATCTAGCAGATAATGCTATCAATGACTATGAGCCTTTGAAATTTGACTTCCCGGATGAGGATGTGTTGATAGTAGAAGAGGACAAAGAAAAGAATGATTGGTGGATCATGTATTTTGATGGGGCAGTGAATGTTTCTGGTAATGGAGCAGGCGCTGTGATAATCTCACCTGACAAGAAGCAATATCCCGTCTCAGTCAAACTACAATTTGAATGCACTAACAATACTGCTGAATATGAGGCTTGTATCCTTGGATTAGAAGCTGCTTTGGAGATGAAAATAAAGAAGCTTGATGTCTATGGGGATTCAATGTTAATAATCTGTCAAGTGAAAGGCGAATGGCAGACCAAGGAGGAAAAATTGATACCATATCAACAATATCTCTCGAAACTGACTGAGGGCTTTGATGAGATAGATTTTTCCCACATGGGAAGAGACAAAAACCAGTTTGCTGATGCTTTGGCAACTTTAGCTTCTATGGCCAAAACTGATTACGGAGTAAGAGTACAACCAATCTGCATTGAGATTAGAAATTTTCCAGCTCATTGTTGTTCAGTTGAAGGAGAAATAGATGGGAACCCATGGTTTTATGACATCAAGCAGTTTATCCAATATCAAGAGTATCCCTTGGGGGCATCCAAAGCAGATATGAAGACCTTGAGAAGGTTAGCTCTGGAATTTTACCTGGATGGAGAAATTCTATACAAAAGGTCATTCAATGGGACTTTACTGAGATGTCTAGATGAAATCGAAGCTAAGGTAGCATTGCAAGAAATTCATGAAGGAATTTGTGCAACTCATGCAAGTGGGCATATGATGGCTAGACAATTACAACGATCGGGGTATTTCTGGATGACCATGGAGAAAGATTGCATCGATTATGTCAGGAAATGTCATAAATGTCAAGTGTATAGTGATAAGATAAATGCACCTCCAGCTCCTCTATTTAATATGACATCACCATGGCCATTTGCAATGTGGGGAATAGATGTGATTGGGCCAATCAACCCAAAAGCCAGCAATAAGCATCAATTTATCTTAGTAGCCATTGATTACTTCACAAAGTGGGTGGAGGCCAGCTCTTATGCCCATGTAACTCAAAATGTGGTCAAGAGTTTTATTGAGAAAGATTTGATCTGTCGATATGGTTCACCTGAGAAGATAGTGACCGATAATGCCCAGAATTTTAATGGAAAAATGATCACAGAATTATGCGTGAAGTGGAAGATTAAACATTCAAACTCATCTCCCTACAGACCAAAGATGAATGGTGCTGTCGAAGCTGCAAACAAGAATATCAAGAAGATTATCCAGAAGATGGTAGTTAATTACAAGGATTGGCATGAGATGCTTCCCTTTGCTCTACATGCATATCGCACAACAGTAAGAACATCTACTGGAGCTACACCTTATTCACTAGTATTTGGGATGGAGGCGGTGATGCCTTTGGAAGTAGAAATTCCATCTTTGAGAGTACTAATAGAATCTGAACTAGAAGAAGTTGAATGGGCTAAAGTGAGATATGAGCAGCTAAACATGATAAGTGAGAAGAGGTTGGCTGCAATTTGTCATCACCAGCTATACCAAAGAAGGATGGCCAAAGCATATGACCGGAAAGTCCGACCAAGAGAATTCAAAGAGGGGGATCTTGTACTCAAAAAAATCTTACCACTACCAAGTGAAGACCGAAGCAAGTGGGCACCAAACTATGAAGGCCCATATGTAGTGAAGAAAGCTTTCTCCGAAGGGGCTATGTTGTTAACTAGGATGGATGGAGATGATTTACCTAGGCCCGTGAACTCTGATTCTGTGAAAAAGTATTATGTATGATGTATTTCATCCAATCAAAATCAAATGAAATGAAGTTTTGGCCAGGAAATTCTCTTTGCATATACCTCACCAAAAAGCCCATGCATGATCTCAATGGCTCAACAATCTGATCTTTCAAATGTTTTTTTTTACAAGAGAACCCATTCTTCTTAAATGAGGTTTTAAAAGAATTGATTTTGTTTATGATTTCAATGAAATAAATCAATGATTTGTTTAGGATAATGTTCAAAGCAATTCTGAAAGAGATGACCATACAAGTCAAGAACACGCAATTGGAACAACTATCACTTAAATTCTGTCTTGGACTTACATTTTATCAGCATGAATAATGGTTGGTAGTACATTAGCTTGTCATGGACTTGCAAAACATGGTATCTTATAAATCCAAAACATTACGCTGGATGTGGACAAAGTTTATTAGTTTTAACCGATCTTGCTTGAAATGAAGAAAGGCCATCTTTGATATTCCTTTCACTTTCTTTTAAAATTATCCTTTGCAGTCCCAATTTGAGCCGAGTCTATTTAAAGTTTTTTTTCATAAGAACCTTAACTAAGATCACACCCTACACTGGGGGCAAAATGAAAGAAATGATCATGGAAATCATCTTGAAGACCTGTGAGCTTATGAGTTTGACAACAAGGAATTCAAAAAAAAAAAAAAATTCCAAATAATTGAGAGAATTCCCAAAAAATAGAAAAAATTCCTAATTGGGAATATTTAGTATCATTTTGTTGTCAATATAAAAAAAGAGATGAAGATAAGATAACAGTGATCTATAGTTTTCAAACCCTTAAACACTTTTTTTGAGCTTATGAAATCCTCTTTCTTTTACAGCCTTGAGCCATAAACACATTACATGCCTTTAAAGTCCTTTCTAATCAAGGAAGCAACCTGAATTAATAAACAGCGTTCCTAAAATATAAGAGACTTTTTCATAAAGAGTCATGATGTAGTAAATAATTACTCATTATTATTCATGCTGATAAAAGGAGTGTTTCTAAAAATAAAAGGCAATTGTTCCTTTTCCCTCAAAATACATTCAAGCAATCGCTTGAACACTTTGAAAACCAAAGCAGAAGGTCATCTCATCACTTACCTTTATCTGAGATTACTTTTACTGAGAGATTTACTACAAATCCTTAGAGTTGCTTGAACATTGTTATAAACAGACATTGAGAGTTTCAGTTTTCAAAAACAAAAGAGATCTTTTGAAAAATCATTTTTGAAAAAAATGGTTTTCTATGTGAAGAAGACAGATATATGACACACCAAGAGGCAGTGTTAGAAAATCAGAGATTCTAACGACAACAAGAGCAAATGAGGAAATGAAAAGAGACAGTTACCTCTTTCAAGGGTAGAGAAGCAATCACAAGAAATCTTCTAGAGGCAGAGAAGCAATCACCTGATTCCTAATGGCACAAAGAAATTTGCCTCCCTAGTGGGAGATACACATGATAAAACTGTAGACTTCTTCCAATGTGGGATTGAAATAGCATGATTATGCAGTTGACACAAAGAAATTTGTTTCCAAGGTGAAGTGGGATAATCCTCATATATTGACCATGTGAATTGGTTAAAGAATCCTCAACAACGGAAATGTTACCAACAACACGATGTCAGACCAGGAAGAAGCTAATGCTCTTAATGAAGTATCCAATGAAGAAAGAGGCAGTGACTATTGAGAAACTCAAACAAAGTTTATCTTGGAGAACTCAACAACATGGGTCAGCTTGAGTAGATTTGAAAGACGCGTGAATCAAAAGAGCTTGCTAACATTCAAGATCGCCAGACAAGATGAATGGGGGATCTATATTTCAAAAAGGTAAGATGCATCACATATCATCTAACTCACAAACATTGCATATTTGTCTTGTAGATATTTCTTGAAACAAAATTCCCAACGGGATCCAACGAGATTCAGACGAAATGAAGTCATTTTAATCACATCAAATATGACAATTTCATGAAAGCAAAATTCATAAATGAAGACAAGAAAGATGGATTTTTTATTCATGACAAAAGGTTTAAAAGTACAAATATTAAACAGTGCAAGGACGATCAGGAATATTGTCATCTTGATCATTAATCAGGCCTCGAAGTTCTTCAAATTGTTTACGCATATTCTCCATCTCTTCCTCAAACTCGAGGTGTCGTGTGTTAACATAGTCCTTCCAAAAGTCGACACGTGTATTCAGCTCTTGGTTCCTCCTCTCCAAGTCGTTTCTCTGACGTCTTTCATCACGGAGTCTATTACGTAAGTTCTCAATCAGATGATGGAGATCAAGAACCTGAGTATTCAGCTCAAGTCTTCTAGCATGAAGACGCTCTGCAACATTCACCAGAGATGAAGTAGCTCTGATACTGAGAGCAAGTGACTGATTCACTGCTTCAATATCGCTCCTAGCTGCCAGCATGGTTTCATCACGGGGAAGGACCATGTCTCTAGCCACGGCTACAGCAGTATCTTCATTGTCCATTACAGTATCTTCTATTGTAACTGGACGACCATTCACTTCAAAAGTAGTACGCCAAACTATAGGCTCTACTGCAGGAACAAGATTTGGGTTAACATTGGAAGAAGAGGAAGACATGATTAAAGCTTCAAGAGTTGGGAACTTTGAAAGGCTTGAAATACAAGAAGTTGATGATGTTTGTCACCAAAAACTGCGTAATTTATAAGGATTCTACTCTTACTATTACTCTGAACAGATGATCAAATCTCAACCATAGACGTAAGACTTTCATGAGAAGCTTTCATTATCTCTGAAATTGATTGCAAATCAGATCTCAACCGTAGATATAAGACTTTCGTGAGAAGCTTTCATCATCTCTAAGATCGATTTATAAATCAGATCTCAACCGTAGATATAAGACTTTCATGAGAAGCTTTCATTATCTCTGAAATAGATTGCAAATCAGATCTCATCCGTAGATATAAGACTTTCATGAGAAGCTTTCATTATCTCTGAAATAGATTGCAAATCAGATCTCAGCCGTAGATATAAGACTTTCATGAGAAGCTTTCATTATCTCTGAAATAGATTGCAAATCAGATCTCATCCGTAGATATAAGACTTTCATGAGAAGCTTTCATTATCTCTGAAATAGATTGCAAATC